TCCCTTGGACCAACAGCGGTGGATAAGCTGGAGAGCAGCCCCAACCAATTCGGAGGACTTTACATCGGCATCCAAGTGTGCACGAATGGAGACCGTGCCAGCCAGCTGCATAATGCAAAAGGCGATACTGGACTCCACGGTGCAGAATTTGTTGTCATACGAGAAGAGGCAGGGCGAAGTATGGATGGAAGAGCCAAGAATCTTCCTAAGATGATCCGGCGCCAAATCCAGACAGAAGGCCATTGCGCGGGTTAAGGGTCAGTGCTCCCATAACGAGCGCTTGAGCAAAATAACTGTCACGCATGTGCCAACTATATTCGGATGGGGAGGGGTAGGTGATCACAATGTTAGCAGTGATCAAACAACGAAGCAAATAACAGAGGAGCACGTAAAGGTACGAGTGCCATAAGCGGCAATAAAGCCCACCGAGCACAAAGTACAAGGGGCAACCACACCCTCACTCAGTGGACACATTGGCACATAGCTCCACTGTCTGCGAACAGATGGCCAAAGTGAGGTGGGTCCAGCCAGGGGCATTAGAGCCAATAACGTGGCTCTGGATCTATTGTGTGAGAAGAAACAAGGTATGACTACCACGGCCAAAGAAGTGATAGGGGAATTGTTCACACTCACACAGTTCACGGGCAATGACTGTTGCTCTTGGCGTTAAGACCTGGAGCAATGCCTCTACCCTACCCCATCCAGTTTTGTGCCCGATTAAAGCCCCGACAACTCGTGAAGACCACTTGGGGGTCAAAGAAAAGTGCTCCGAAAGTGATTGGGCAAGCGCACGTTCTCCAACGCACGAGATGGCACGGAGATTTGGTGCACTTATTTTCCATAGCATTGACACGGTAGCGCGAGGTTGAGTGGCAGCGTCCAGCCTTGCAATGACTTCAATGAGAGTCCATGCAAGTAGGAGTTTTTCCTCATCCAGATCTTCGACAATCTCGTGAATGATCAGTGGATTACCAAAGGAGACGCCTCGATATAAACGATCCTTATGGTACGGGGAAAGGGCTTCGTTCGACTTGCTTTCCTCTAAGAGAGCCACGAGGATCGCTCCCGCTGCAGCAGGGAGGACTGTGAGTTCGAAGTCAGCTGTGCTGGAATGACTACCAATGGCTTCATGGTAACGCCAAGCCAGGAGGCAGCGTGTGGCGGCCAGCATGTTTGGTTGTGCCCGGGCGTTCACAACTGGTCTGAGCCAAAGGTGCCGCCATCACGAAAGAGGGAGGGTGGTTGAAATGGGGACTACACGCATCACAACGAGGGGGGTGTTACCCACAATCCCCTACGCGGAACAGCTGTAACATCAACGCGTCTCCTTTTATCGTCTCTTTGCCTCTCGACCTCTAGTATATCCTGAACTTCCAGGATAAGGCGCTTGGACACCCTGTTGGTGGTTGCCTTTGGGTGCTTTGGGAGAGCAGGGCTATGACACGCGATACCCGCAGCGTTTAACGCATCAACTGCCGCATTAAATTCACTCTTCGTGGTGGTAATAGCAAAGACATCTTGTAGGTTAGCAAATTCCTGGTTAGGTGTGACCTGTGGATGACAGCGCTGCCCCACCTGGATGAGCTGAACTAACGCTTCAGTAGCCCCTTCGATGAAGGGTGAAACTGCGTTTCTATTTTTGACGTACACCCCGTCATGTACCCAAAGCACTGTGCCTGCGCAGTACGGGAGCATTGCAGCGAGCCCTTTTCGCATTACGAAGCTTTCCGCAGCTTCAAGTGCAAAAGTTGCCCAATTCCTGTTGTTGACCCTTGCATCCGGTTGGTAAAAAGGGATTCCTTGCTGGATCATAACCTGGAGGGTAGCTTTAGCCTGCACCAAATGTGCAAGAAAACTTGCCAAGGCAGGGGGGATGGCATAAGCAGCAATACTACCTTCATAAACATGCCGAAGGAAAGCATTGCTGTCCATTCCAACTGCTCTTTGCAACAAGTGCTTGGTTTGCACTGTTTGTGCTTTGGGCGCGCGTGCAAGGTGACTACTAAATAGCTCCCTGGCTTCAAGCAACGTTGGGAGGGGTGGGTGAGTAGGGCTGTGACATGTAAGGAGGCGCAAAAGCGTATAATGCGCACCTTTCATGTCGATTTCAATTGCGTTCGGTCCGATGGCCAAGAAACGTGTTAGCCTTTTACTCGTTTGCCAGTGCCGTATGGCATAATATCTACCCTGTGGGTGCAAAGATGGCCTTCGATACTGGACCATGGCATAATATCTACCCTGTGGGTGCAAAGATGGCCTTCGATACTGGACCAGCCCTGGCCACGTTGTATCAAGCTCGGGGGGAGGCTTGATCCGATTGTAGAGGCAAAACCGCAAAAGCAGTTCCGGATTCCAAAGTGGGGGGGCCTCAAGAGAAATAATTTCAGCTCCGGAATGCAAGTCCTGTATAGCTTGCAGGTGCCATTGCTTGGAAGGCAACAGAATAGGCGGAAAGCACTCAGTGTTTATTTGCATATGAGGCTGACCCTCACCCGAGTCAAAGAAGACATCTTCATGAAGGGGTGCTTCGTAGCGGAGACTGTTAGCAGCGATTCCTGCCAGGTGATCAGCGACTTTGTTGCCGACGCGAGGGGCGTATGACCAATGCACTGTAATGGGTGTGTGCGTTAACTTTTGCCACATGTTGTCCAGTTTTCGCACTAGGTCTTCCCTATGTAGTCTCAAGGCACCAGCAAAGTGCTTTACAATGTTGATGCAGTCGCCCTGAAGGATAACCTCCCTAATTTGATTGCTAGCAGCTAGAGATAATGCCTTGTCTAACGTTGCGTCAGCGGCGCATATTTCCGCAAACATAGAATCTGGACAAGGCTGGAGTGGGATGGCAATCGTTTCAAGAATTACCGGGACTGGTCCGGGCGACCATACGATACCACCCGCACCACCGATACCTTCTTGCACGTGGCAGCTGCCGTCAAATTGAGCAACAAGGTGGGTATCTTTGACAGGTTTTAACTCAACAATAAGTGGAGTACCTGCAGGGATTGGCCTTAATGCCGTAACTTTAAGGTGCAGATTGCCGCAATGACACATTTTAGGCCATAGAGCAACATTAGGGACGCCAAGGGTCTGTTGATACATAGGTGCAAGCAAGTAATGCTGTGCATCTAATGTTGCTAAGACATCCCCTATATTGGCATTCCTGGGGGAGACGGTAACACCTTGGGCGCTTGCTTTAATTAAGGCAGAAAGGGGATGCTTGACCTCAATATGGAGTCCTCCGTCGTTGCAACAGGGCTTGCAGCGTTCCGTGTCAACCCACCATGCCGGTAATGCTTTGGGAAGTAACATCCTCGGGATGGTATTCCAAAGACGTGACGCGAGCTTGGGTATGTTACTGATGTGTTTTGCCCGTTGCGGTGTCTCACACCATCCAGGGTGCCAGGTGCATTGCTGTTCCATAGTATATCTTCTTATGGTCGCAATCCATGCTAATAGGACGGCACAGAATTTCTTGTCAATCCCTCCCTCAACATTGATCTTAGGAAGGGCAGTGTGACACAGGGAGTCAAACGAGGCAGTGCCAGCATATCCCAATGTGACTAGGACAATAAAGAGGGAGGCTTTGGTGACCACACAAGCCGTAAGCCAATGCTCTGTTGTGTTTGCTCCCAGCCCACAGAGCAGGCAGTGGCTTTGGATGAAAGTACACTGGTGCTCATTGGGTATAGCTGCTCTGTAAGTAATAGTTCTAGCCGGAGCACCAGGCATTGCCGCACATTGCAGGAGTGGTGCTTGGTTAACATCACAGCAAGGCAGCATGCAGCTGATGGCCTGGGCAAGGTCATCAGGGCAGCTTTGGTTGAGATGACAGAGTTTGCAGACTGGCATGCTGCCGAACCCATTGTCATACCAGAGCTCTTTCCCTGTTTGTTTGCGTAGGCAGACTCTACATTGCTCGTCCCTAGAGGCATATTGCCTGTACACAAAATTTCGTGCTCCGCTCAAGCTTACCTTTAAGCCAACAAAGAACAAAGACACATGAGCCTACACTTGGTGTGGTTCAGAGAGCGCAACGCTTACAGTAACGCACTCACTCGGACATTCCTTTTTTTTTTCACGTGGAAGCGTGGGCAAGCATGCACATGCGGGCCTCATGCCACGCAAGGACAAACCTTCTGCCTTGGAAAGCCTGTGTAGATCTACTTGGCACCTCATGCAAAGTTGCAATACGAACCCAGCACTGACTCCCCCGGATGAGGGAAGCCATGCAGGCAGAAGAAGATCCACAGGCGGGATCCGTCAGGCACGGATCGGTCACACCCACTGGGATGGGCGGGCGGGCAAAGAAAATTTTCTGCATCTCTCAGCTGTCAGCCACTGTTACCGGGCATGAAGACTGCATACAAGCTGTCAAGGTGACATGCAGAGAGAACATGAAAGATGGGCATGCAGAAAATTTTGAAAGCACTGTGAAAACTCTTTTTGTTTTTCTTAAAGGCACGGTTGCAGGCAACCTAAGCGTTCGCTCCTCACGAAGGCGCTATCAACAAGTTGACAGCAAGCTTCGTGCTCCACTCAAGCTTACCTTTAAGCCAACAAAGAACAAAGACACATGAGCCTACACTTGGTGTGGTTCAGAGAGCGCAACGCTTACAGTAACGCACTCACTCGGACATTCCTTTTTTTTTTCACGTGGAAGCGTGGGCAAGCATGCACATGCGGGCCTCATGCCACGCAAGGACAAACCTTCTGCCTTGGAAAGCCTGTGTAGATCTACTTGGCACCTCATGCAAAGTTGCAATACGAACCCAGCACTGACTCCCCACATTATCCGACTTTCACCTTTTTACCTTTTTCCTTAAGAAGTTTTCGAAAACAGCCTTAAGGGTTTGACGGACGTCAACTGCACCAACCAAAGTGTTGCCATGAACGTAGGACTCCAGCTTTGTTCGAGAGGGATGGTCAGCAGGGTTAGACGGAGAAGGAACCCTGGCGTACCATGCTTTGACATCGAACTGCTCCTCGCTCTCCAGCAAGACATTTAGAAGCGCTTGTGCATTGTCAGACCTCGTGCAGCCTGAAATCGCGATGTCGCGGGAGGCATTGTTATCAACGAACCACAGCACAGGTGCATGTCTGATGACGTGTCCCCATACAAGCTGCGAAACGATAACTGCCAAAAGTTCAGCTTCAAAAATGACCGTCTTACGAAAGCCCTCGGTCAATGCTTCAATCTGCCAGCGCTCAAGTTGCTCGGAAAAGGCACCTAGGAGTTTACCTCTGTCAGAGAACAGCAGGCCACCAATACCACACGCCCAGTCCGATGCCTCTGGGTCGAAGCAGGCGTCCGTGAAGATGACGAATTTTTCCCGCAAAGATCCGTTCAAGACTCTGGGTTTGTGCTCCAGAAGCATCTTCCTGAACCTGTCCAGAGCGAAAACGCAATCCTCACACAAGGTATCGGACACATCACTATAGGCGTGCTTGGTGACTTGTCTAAGGCACATCCTAGCGGACCTTCCAAACAATTGACTGTCAGCAAACTGCATGCGTCCCCTCAACCTCAAGGCCAGAGGCTGTTTGAGGGAACCAGCGTCGAGTATGTCGCCAATGGACCCACAGAGTTCGCTCACCCTGGATGGGGTGTTTGCAAACTTCACAACTTTGTTCGCGCTCTCCTCTAAATCGACGACGATGCCAAGAGCTTCGAAAGACCTCCTGAACGGCAAGTCCTTCTTTCCGTCACTGGACAGTGTCCAGCCCAGGAGCTTGAATAAGCGCTTGATGGTAGCGTCAGTGCTGTGTGCGAGGCTGCCCGAACAAATCGTGATGAAGTCATCGAAATAGCAAACCCAAGGGAGGCTTAACCCAACAGTCCCTATGAACCAGATGCTATGCACTACGCGCAGAAACGAATAAACGCTTCTGCACGCGCCGAAAGGCAACGCTTTGAGCCTGAAGCACACGGGGGCGGCACGCTCATGGTCCCAGATGCAAACGTACGAGCACCAAGCGGAACTCTGGGACACCGCCAGCTGTCGATATGCTGCTTTCAAATCATGGGTACGACCCAAGAGTGGCTCATTGGTGGACCTCATGAGCTGAATGGCAAGTGCAGCAAGAACGTCGGTGGAATGGGGCTTTGGAGACTCATTTGTTTGGACACACGAGTTGACGTGCGATGCACTGAGGTCGTCTATCAGACGTACCTTTGACCCTTGCTGGATCCCGAACCGGCGAGAAACTACTGAGCCGTTAGGCAGCTCAGACGGATCAAAGGGCCCTTCTAACCAACCTTTCTGTAGTTCTTCAAGGGTTTGCTTCTTTACTTCTTGGTCAAGCAAATCACCCTGCGACTTAACACTCCGGAAGACACTGTGCCTGCCCTCATCGGCGGTGTCTCGCAACAAGTCCTCGGACATTGCCGCGGGTTTGAAAACAGGGTTGAATAGCCCAGTACTCGGAACTTCACCAGTCAACACGGTCCCTGAAATCACCTCCTCGATGACAGTTTTGTCAGGGTAGTTGAGGTCATCTAAGATTTCGCGCCAGACAAGAAGGTTTTTAGGTTCAAGGATGCCTCGGACGTCGGGATGCATGCCATCCTTGAGTTTGCATTCGTCTGTCCTGAGTTCCAAGCACCGTTTGAACCATTTTTCAAACCAAGCTGTGCGCTTCCCTTCAAGGGCCGACGCTGTCGTCGCATTGCAATTCACTTCGACGGCTTGAAGAAGTTCGCTGGGTAATTGTGCTTCTTGGGCCACAGGGTGGACAGCTTTGCAAGCACACTGAATGAATTCACTTGGCGACCACGGAATGCCCCACGCCAATTCAACATGCCTACGAGTTTCCTCATCCTGCTTTCCCATTTTAACCGGACTGAGACGCAGCAACTGAGCATAGGGAGGTATGACCTTCAAGCTGCATTGACAATCCGCAGGCACCGGCCAAGCCTGCTCGAGGCGTTGCATGGGTTGGCAAGGCGGGACCAGGCTGGCGGCAGGCCCCCGGACCACGCAAGTGGTCTTGTACTCCGGGACCAAGGCTGGCACCTTGCTAGCTTTTGGTTGAAGTCCAGCCAGGCTGCGTAACGCCGGAAGCTGGAGGCCCGGCGGCTCGACAGTGGGAAGGGCACTCGCGAAGCACTGCGCAATGGCATGAGCCAAGGGACGAGGGTAGGCGGTCTCCCGACTGGTGGCGAAACCGTTGGGGGCCGCGGGGTCGACACCCCAAGACGCATGCGCAGGGCAGCCGGGACACAGCTTGCACAAGGACTCGAAAGAAGGGTGCGTGTAGGCAATCCGGGTGAACTTGGGGCGGTCGCCACCAGAGGCGCACGCCTGGTGATCCACATAGCGAAAAGCAGGAGCCACGTCGCGCCAAAAGGAAGTCTTCCAAAACAAGGATGACCGCGGATTCTCCACAGCAATCAAGATGCCACGCTGCACACCCAGGCGCACGGCCTGTCGAAGCGCCAGGTAGCTTTCGTTTGCAAGGCGCACACGGCGAGCATCACCGGGGGGGAGGTCGGGCATACCGTCCGGGTGACGGTCTGACCGCAGAGGCCGGGGCACAGGCACCGGATTGCCCTGGCTGTCCCAGCACGGAATGCCACGGGCCAGAGAACACGTGCCACAAGCCGGAGCGGCGAACAACCCCAAGACGCGCGGGTTTTGCACAAGTTGGAGCAGCTGGGCAAGGCCGTCTGGCGTAGAGACATCGAGCACCCAGGGCGGGGCGGCACACCCAACGCTCTTGACCTTGTCAATGGCAACAGCCTCAAAACCAAGTGCACGCAGGGCCGCAGTGACGCGACCAGACCCGGAGAATAACTCCAAAATTAAAGGCGGGGTGGGGGGCGTGAGGGGCCGCACAGGGGCAGGCTGGACTAGGGAACCGGGATTAAGGAAACCCAAACTAAGGAGTTCCTGTCGTTCCTTCTCGGACAGCCGCTCCCAACCCTGAAGGCAATATCCCACAAGCAAACACCGAACGCCTTTCCAAGGGAGTGTGGCATGCAGGCGGCTGGCGTCTAAGGTCTGGGGCCCCAAACTGACGCGGAGCCGTATGCCCAGGGCATCGTGCCCTGCCAGCGGAACACGGCCAACTGGAGATTCTTGCCAGACGTCGCCGTCCCGGAAAAGGCTGATTGGCAGAAGCAGGTTGGGGAAACCAGGTACGTTGCAGGAGTCAACGTGCGGTTCCGCGCGCAGGTTTGTGAACACAGCAGCATTCGTGAATGCGTGGCCAGGGAAGTGCTGGCGAAGTAGAGCACAAAAGAAACGTGTCACAGCGGGGAAACGTTTCGTGAAGCCGCGAACGCCCGCACGGGCACCCCAGGTCCACATGCCGCAGGTCCAGGAGTGAGAGGCGCTATGCGCTTGGCCCCGTGCGGGGACCTCAGAGGGAAGCAGGCAAAGAATGCGCCGGGCAGCGTCAAGCGAAGGGCTGTTGACAGAGGCACGGGCAAGATGCTCCGCACGAGCCACGTCCACGACCCACTGGCAGGGCGAAGGCTGTTCACGTAAGTCAAGAGCCACAGCAGGCCTGGGGGCAGAACAGGATGCATCATCAGCGCGGACTGGCGCCTGCACAGTCGCTTCACGTACAGGTGCTTCAGGGCGGGGCTCGGTATGGGGGTCCACCGGGTCCATTCCGGGCCCTTTTTCCGCCGTTCTTTTGTCAGAAACCGTCCGTTCTTTTGGATGGCAATTCGGACGCAAAAGAACGGGCGCTCTTGGGGAACTTGGAAGCCCCCAAAACCCAGCAACAAGCCCCACATCGGACCCCAGCGAACCCTCATAGGGCTCGGGTTGGGGTGGCAGGTCACTTGCAGAGCCAGGTGACCTGACGGACGCGGCAGTGCTAGTGGGAACAACAGAGGTGCTTAAGGAGGGAGCAACCGGGGGCCTAGGGGAGGGAGGAGACTTAGGGAGCAGAGACACGGGCTCACCAAGGGGCCTGTATGCAGGAGAAAGATTAGCCCGTTCGCGAACTTCCAGAACAGGTTGGCCTGAAGCGGGGAGATCGCGAGACTCATCTGTGCAAAGGGCAGGAGTCAGCACCTGCGGGGGAAGGTCAGACATCTTCGCCACGTCAGGCTGGCTAGCAGAAAACGAATTCGAAGTGACACTGGTCGAAGCGGCTTCTGGCGATAGTCACTCTTTGCGCTGGCACTGCATGAGGCTATGATTGCCGAAACAACGCGCGCAGACATGGGCACGGGGGCAGTTGGCCACCCGGCACTCCCCAAGGCTGAACCCGTAGCAGATGGCTTTGCCATCGGGCGTTTGGGCTTTGCCACCCTTGTCGAGAATGGCCTTGGGGACAGCCGCACGGTTGGCAGCACCTTTGCCTGGACCTTTCGGGGGGCGAGCAGGTGGGTCCTTGGGCGCAGGGGGAATCTTCTCAGCTTTATCATCCTTCTTGCCCTTGTCATCTTTGGTCTTCTTGCGCTTCCTTCCTCGACCGCCGCCACTCCCAGCAGCCGTGCTTCCACGAGGGATCAAGACGAAGGAAACGCGATACGACGAGAGCGCTTCAAAGAGAGCGTCATCCATGGCGCGGGATCCGTCACTCTTGCGCCGGGGCCGGATTCCTTTCTCAAGCATCCACACATGAACCAAGCGGTCAGCCTCGACAACTTGATGCAGCTGGCAAGCACCCCCTGGCAGGGCGTCGGGGTTTGTCAGGTGTCGCATCAGCTCATTGACGTATTTTTCATGTGCAAGAAAATCAACCACGTCTGCAAATGCCAGCGCCAGTCCTCGACGACGGAATGCTGCAGAGAGGAGCAAGGGGTTGTGAACTTGGGCGTCACACGGGAGCTCCTGGTCCTTGAGAACAAGCCGCTGCTGCTCCAGCTCGACGACACGGGCGAGGGGCTTGGCAAGGGCTACCTCGCTCAAGCGGGAGGTGCATTTCTCAGGGGCGATATACCTTATCTCATCCAGCGAACTCATGGTGCAGGCCAATTCCAACAGGGCCCGGCTGGGCTCCGCATCACCTTCTATGATCACACCGGAAACCTTGGCCTTTAAAGCAGCCATGCGTTTGTCGCGCTCTGCTTCTGCAAGGGGTCGGGCGGCAGAGGCACTGGGGTTGGTAACCTGGTCCTTGAGATCTGCCAAGGTAAGTGTTTGCGCCTCGAAGACGAGTCGGCGTACACTCGCAGCTTCCCCGGCTGATGCGGCGGGGATGGAGGTTTGGACCCAAGTATGCCACTGATCATCGGCTAGCTGTTGACCTGGTTGGCCCACGCAATAAGCGAGCTGCCCAAGAGTCTCAAAACCCAGACGCGTCAAGGTACGTATGAGGGGCTCGCCGATGCGGAACAGCTTGCATCTCGCCTGAAAGTGAGCGGCAGACTCCAGCACAGACATGGGGCTCTCACGCAGCGCACTCGAGAGGCTACTTAGGGGCACCTACTTCACATGACAGAATGCACCCGAACAACTTCACATGACTGAGTGTAACTGAACATCAAGATGTCAATCAGGAATCAACACAACAAATCATGGCATGAAAGCATTGGTCATGTCGTCACCAACCTCGACTTGATGGGGGGGCGAGAGAGAACAAGCAGCCGACATGACTCACGTTCACTCATGCTCAACCCCCCCCCCCCTTGTCCGTGCACTCGACCGAAAAAGGCAGACAGCAGCATGACAGTTGTGAGGGCGCAACACTTCATTGCAGACCCTAGGTCGACTACTTACCTTCGCAAGCAGAGGGACCCGACTTTTCCACAACCGTCAAATGCATCGCCGGCAACCTTGACACTCGACCGCATCCAGGTCAGCATCCTCGGCAACTCTGTACGCATCGGAGCGCACACGTCCGCATGCAAGAACTTGAAGGCACGCATCAAGATTTCTTTGGCCGCGGACCAAGTGCAACTTGCGGGAACGACGGTGGATCACCCAGACGTCGGACTCATCCCGTGTCTCAGGCAGAAAGCGGCGGGCCTTTTTGCTGAGGGGAGGGCTTGAGGAAGGGGTCCCACTGTCCGAGCTGCTGCTTCGGGAGGCCTCAGAAGCGGAGGAATCCTCGCTGCTCTCATGCGCAGACTCCGCGGCTTCGGAGGCGGAATCTTCAACTTTGATGGCTCCGGAGGGTCGCACCACAGGCAAAATTGGTGCTAGGCCAGGAGAGGCTTCACAGGACTCGCTCCAGAAAGCGCGCAAAGGAGCATCTGGCATGAACACCCCAAGAGCCACCTGATGCAACAAGCGAGAAAAGGCCAACGACGGGGCCGCGCTGAGGTCACGGCTGTACACAACCTCAGTCGTGAGTTGATTGCGAGCATGCCGACCCAAGACAGCACAAGTATCACGGTCCATGCCAGCGCGCGCGCCAGCCTTGGATGCCCAGGACAGGCCAGTGACCTTGAGGGAATGGGAGGACACGCCGGAGTCCTCAGGCAAATCGAGGGCTTGACGAAGCATCCTGGACACTTCTTGCGAGGACACGGGGCGAGCACAGAGGGCAGAGCACTCAGCATCAAGGGGTGGGCGGAAAATGGGCCCGTCAATCTTGCCAATTAAACACAGGTTAACAGCTTCAAACGCCTGGATTGCAAGAGGCAGCCAGGGACGAGAGACCACTCCCTGTGCAGGGACCAAGATATGCAAAAACTGCGCTTTCTTCTTGGCGGTGGTCGAGGTCTTGTGACGACCTGTTCGAATCTGCAGAAAGCCCGAAACACCATCGAAATCGCACTCCAGGTCCCAGATGCACTGCAGGTCAGAGTGCCGACATCGTCCATAGACGGCGATCAAGGCATATGCAGCGAAGCAACGCAACAGGGGGTCGTCACTGCCTTCGAGAAGTTCATGCAATTTGCGAACCTGATCAACTGTTAATGCACGAGCCTGCTTGAGCCAACGGGTCTTAGCAGCCAACTGCTGACTGGCACCGACGATGCGCCGGCTAGAAATGCATACCTGCACATCCACCTCAAGGACGTAGT